TACAAACAGAAAGGGAGATGATAAAATAAATGACAGAGGTGGACAAGGGATTACAGACAGAAATTTCCAGTAATGTTATTTCTGGTCGAACGTTCTTCAGCGTAACGGATTATAGATAATAGCAACCAATCTATTAGCCATTTTAAGTGCATCTTTTTCGTATCTTTGGTAAATGGAGTACAAAATGTGATTTACATTTACACTGCATATCATTTTAAGATTATACCATTAAATGTTGCTAAGTATAATATTACTATTTTCTATGAGATAGAAAAGGAATTTTTAAATAATATTTAGAAGAGTTTCGTTCTTCATGGAGTTAACGTGGAACATCGCTTTGGGTATTCTTAGATTACGCCAGAGCACTGCTAATTTCTGTCTATTCCATTTCCTTGCAACTTTATTTGAGTCTTGCGTTTTGTAATTATTCAAGTGGTTTTTGTGGTCCAAGTCATTCTGATTGTAGATGGAGATTTTCCATCCAAATGTAAAGTATTTAAAGCAATTTAACCTCTTAAAAAATAGGGGACACAACAAGAAATAAGGCAAATGAATTATTCAGGCATCTTTATTTCTGTTGATTTAAAGTTAATCCATCAGCTATTTCAAGCAAGTTCATGTAGATTCCGTTTGTCTGTTATAAGTCTGAGACTTTTTTGTTTTTAAAAATATTAATAATTGTAAATAATTAAATAATATTCGCGATGATTTTCTTTTGCGCTTGCATAATCGTATTTTCAGGCGTATTAGTGCAGTTACTGTAAACCCAGTTCCAGAGATGCACTGTAATCTTCTGCTAGAGTGTAACTCATTCAGTTATATTTTGGTGATATATCAGCTACTCATACTCTACTTCGTGGAGAGAAATTATAAAAGATAAATAGGGAGGAATGCAGAAAAAGGAAATTATCATATTTGGGGGTAGCAGTTCGAAACTTGAACTGTCTATCAGAGGTATAAAATTCTCGCGATTTAAGACTAGAGAGGAATATAATATGAGTTAAGAATTTAAATAACTTTCTTTGTGGAAATTTAAAAGGGAACATTGCGCAATCTGTTAAATTATGATAGTAAATTCAGAATGCACTTAGGTTAGACCAGCACAGCAAAGAATTAGACTATTTTATGGGAGTCAGGTAATATTGAAAACGAATTAGCAAAAAATTAGACTATTTTGTGGGAGTCAGGTAATATTGAAAACGAATGTGTTAATCGAATTAAAATTCTGTATCTAAATTATATCTTGAGCATCATGCTCTATCATATTAACAGTTTAATTATGTCCACTGAGGCCTATAATTTTTGTAACTTATTTTCATGTAAGGTTTAAATTCTTTTCTGGTTTGTTTGCTTGCTTCTACGAAAATTTCCATAACTTTGGAAACTTCTCGTTACCTGGAAGTTGACATTCGTTAATAAATTCCAAAGATCAAAACCCTATCTGATGATTACTTTTCACTGCTGACCACAGTTTCACGAAACCTGACAAAAACATTGATGTAAAATGTTAAAGTATATTCCATTTTTCAATTACGGCTATAACTTGGATGAGAAACTTGGAAGTAGTTTGTTAAGTATATCAGATTGATGGAAGAACAAGTATTTTTCCCGTAATACATTCAGAAGTCAAGAAGCAAATTAAAAGTGCTAATTTTAAAGTTTGGGAAATTCAGAACGAAAGCCCTTAATAGGAGGCCAATGTTAATTGTGAATTCGTGCGTACATCAAGAAAGTTCCCGTGTTTAAAGTTAAAAGTATTAAGGAAAGTACAAACTCAATGAAAAACAATAAAATTATATTTAAATAAATGCCATGTTTGTGACACAATTAATCTATATACGTCATTAGTTCAAGGAACTTGATAAGTATGCGTTATTAAACTGAGTCTCTTCTTGGATAGTGTTTTGTTCACAGTTTAAAAAATCACACAACTATTGATGATTACCATAGCCCTGATGATGGAGGCAGCGAGTACCTTTGAAACGTTGGTAAACGTCTGCCAGACTACACAGCGTAACACCCCAGACAGTCATTTTCAAAATCTTTCCACGAAAACCTGGTATCTCATACAGGGTTTGAGATCAGAATATTCCAGTGGAAAAACCGATTAAGTTGTTCAAATGGTGATGGAAGTGGAAGCAGATTCCAAACACTGCCCGGCTTTTAAACTAAGTCGAAGGGAGAAATCGGAGAACAGACATCAGCTTGGGTACGCATGTGTTAATTGAACACAAATTGTAAAAAGGCAGTAATTCTTTATGTCCAGTGACGCAATAATTTAGAGATCTTATTTTAACTGATGGTCATTATGGTAGTAACGTCCACATGTTCTTATTACAGTAAGTCTTTCAATAATATCGGAAGTCCTCTCTCGTCACGTGACGTACATATTTTACAGGCATCTCGACCGAAGAAACGAAACAAATTCTACTCGAAACTATTGTTTCTTATAAGAACAAGTATTATTTCCCTTTTATTTGAACAACTTGTGTAATTTGTGAAGTATGATCTTTCCCCTGGAGTATGAAACATACACAAAAGATGAGAACAGCTCGCATTAATGGGAACACATTCATCCAAGAATCCATCCATCCTTCAATTCCTTTTCCTCTAGGGGTTTTGTTTAAAAAAAGAATTGGAAAAAGATATTCAGAAGTTGTTTGAAACTCTGAAAAAATATTCCTGGAGCTGTGGGCGATCTTATATTTCGTTTCTTCAGTTACCACTCACGTATTTGACCACGATGGACACATAAATTGAAAGATTCAAAGAATTTGGCAGAGGTTAACTTTCGCCTCACCCTCCACCGTTCCTTTCTGTCGTATTTCTTGTGAACTTCTCTTTTTGAAAGGCGTAGAAGTTTTTTTTTTCTCACATGACACTCGCCGTGATATAGTTTTGTTTCACACGTAAAAGTTGGCGATGTTCGGAATTAAAAGGCGCCGACATCTTCACCGCCCACGTATTGATTTCAAAGACATAATTCTCAACACCCTCAGAGGGCTGTCCCCCGAACGGCTTGTTCTGCAGCATACAAACTGCTCAGTTAGCCGAGTCCCCACATACAATCATACTTTTACTGCAGCGTTCATTTATCTGCCTTCCGGACAGATTTGTGGTTTTTCGTGATGATTTCTACCGTACCGGTTTAATGGAACGTTTTATAGTTCCTTTATATTCTGGTTGTGTGCAAGACAAAATGGTCTATCGGTTTTGAGATATATACGAGTTCTGCTTTTGTTTAAGGTAACATGATTTGAAGATTTCTGGCTTCTGGGTTGTTGCGCCGTGTAGTCTGGTCGATACTAACCAACGTTTCAGAGGTCATACAGCCTCCGTCATCAGGGTGATGAATTCATCGGACGGAGGCAGTATGACCTCTGAAACGTTGGTTAGCATCGACCCGACTACACGGCGCAACAACCCAGAAGACAGAAATCTTCATACTCTGATGACGGAGGCAGTATGACCTCCGAAACGTTGGTTAACATCGACC